AACCCTAAACCCTAAACCTACACTCAGCTCCCGACCATCGAGGGGCTGCGTACCGAGCTCCTATGGCATGCACCCGACAGCAAAAAGGCCCACAAGGAACCCCCAACGAGGCGAGTTTCAACGGGGCTCTCTATAGTCTATAGGGGCTCCTTGTAAGGGATCTACTAGAGGGTGTTCCTTTAAGGGATCTTGATCACCCCTAAACCCTCAACCCCTAAACCCCTAAACCTCTAAACCCTAAACCCATAAACCCTAAACTCCCAAACCCAAAAACCCTAGGGTTTAGGGACAAGTTCAAAGGGGGTTCTAGAAAAGTTTCGTTTCGACAGGGCTGTCGAATCGTTCAATCAGGGTTCGGAGGTTTCAGAGGGATCTCAGGACTTATGAGGGTTTTATATAGCAAGCTAACTGGGTGTTTGTGGGGAGGGGGGGTGACACCCCGGAGAAACCGTGAACTCTAAACCCTAAACCCTAAATCAAGAGCCCAACACAACTTTAGGTTTGCTTAAGCCGGGCCTTCGAAAGACCTTCTGGATTTAGGAGCATCCTAAACCGTGCACCCTAAACCCTAAGCCTGCAACCATGTACCCTATCCCTAACTCAAGACCCTAAACCCTAAACCCTGAACCCGCAACCATGTACCCGAACCCTAAAGCCTAAACCCGCAACCATGTACCCTAACCCTAGACCCAGAACCCAAAACCCCAAACCCTAAACCCTAGGCTCCTAGACCCTACCCCCACACCCTGAATCCGCAACCATGTACCCAAACTGGCTCCGTCGGACCTAACCCGTTGGTGGCTTCCGGTCTGACCCCTTGGATCCAGCAGTGAGCGGGTCCATACGGGTAGCAACAAAAAAACGGACCCAACATACTGATGATAAAAATCCTGCGTTACTTTAAGGGCCCTGAACTATGGGATTTACGGTGTATTCCTTATTATTACGGGTAATGCAGGATATATATCGTCAGCCGTATGGGTATAAAAAAGGGATACAAAACCAGTACGGCACCCCTATTAAGAGGACCCTATACGGGACCCTAACTTGAAGAACTACCCATATAGACTACAAGCTCGGAATTAGGGCCCGCATTGGGGACTTGACTTCAAAATTGTAGTATATATGGACCCTTTTGGTTTGTAACAACCTTGGAGCATGATCTTAAACCAGGGTGAGACGATCCCGGAAAGCCTACATGCCTAAATCTGGAATCCTAACCTGGAGCTTGAACCCTACACATCGCAAGCCGAAGTTCGACACAAACCCTAAACCACGAAGAGAGCTGCTGCATTCCAAGGTGCGGTGCTCCTATGCCACCTTGAAAAAGCCTTATACTCATTAAGGGTCCTTAAGATCCATAGCCCTAAACCCTAAACCCTAAAAGCCCTAAACCATAAGAACCATAAACCCTTAAAGCCCTAAACCTCTAAACCCTAAACCCTAAACCCGACTCGAGAGGGTCCTGAATCGCTTCGGCCAGGGCCTGCCAAGGAATCGTCTCTCGGGGGTGCAGGGTTTACGTAAGGGTCAAGGCACCTGGCAATCATACTCTACTTGGAAACTTGGAAGCCCAGGGGACTTAGTAAGTAGGTTATAAGAAGAGTTATAAGTACCCTAAATGGGCTTATCCCAATTATAACCCTACTTGTAACCGACTTACTAAGTCCCCTGGGCCTCCAAGCAAGGGTCCAAGTACTCAAATAGTGTTGTTTCAACTGCCAAAAACCATTCAGAATAGACTTTGGGACCTAAAACTCTACTATTTGGGTACTTGGACCCTCAGGGATATGCTCCCCAAAAGCACCTGACCTCAACACTACTATCCTAAACCCTAAGCACCAAATTATTGTGTCCTTTGGACCCTTAGGGTTAAGGGTTAGCCTACAACGCTTCTATCCTAAACCCAAATACCTAGTGGTCCGGTCCTTTGGACCCTTAGGGTTAGGGTAGTGCAGGGGCCTGAACCATTCAGAGTAGGCTTTGGGGGGTATCTTGCAGAACATCCGGAATAAGCCCTAAACCCTAAACACTAAACCCTAAGCCCCAAGCTCTAAACCCAAAGCTCTAAGCCCAAACCCCTGAAACCCTGAGCCCTAAACCCTAAACCCCATCCCGAGGCTTGGGGAGTTGAGGATGTGCAAGGAGGTCTCGAGATCTACGACGCCTCCGGCACTCACATGGAACTCCGGTCTTACTTTGGAGGCGCGGAACATATAGTTAGGGCTTAGGGTTTTGGGCTTAGGGCTACCTTAGGGGAGATAACGCTTAGAGCGTACGGCTTAGGGCTTAGGGTTTAGGGTTTAGGGTTTAGGGTTTAGGGTTTAGGGTTTAGGGTTTAAGGCTTCGGGCTTTGTTTTAAGTACCCTAAATGGAGCTACCCCAATTATAGCCCTACTTAAATCCTCAGACTCAGTTTTAGGGTTTAGGGTTTAGGGTTTAGGGTTTAGGGTTTAGGGTTTAGGGTTTAGGTTGAAGCATCAGTTGATCTGGGCTTAGGGTTTCGGGTTTAGGGCTTTGGCTTATGGATTCCAGCCGTACAACCTGCAAAGGTTCATGAGCTTCCTCGCACGTTTAGGGTTTAGGGTTTAAGGTTTAAGGTTTAGGGTTTAGGGTTTAGGGGAACAATCACCAAAACACTTCCATACCTACAGACAAAGGCCACTTGCGAGCTTGTTTCGGGCCTTGCCACCCTGCTCGTCGTCATCGTACATGCCTTTGCGTGGAGAAGAAGTCCCGAATGCTAAACCCTAAACCCTAAACCTTAAACCCTATACCCTGAACCCTAAACCCTAAACCTTAAACCCTAAACCCCAAACTAAACCAGAACCCTAGGCTCTTGTCCTTGTGGACTCCGTGTTCAAAGCTGGGCAGCTGAACGTGAAGTCAGCGGTGACCCTGAACCCAAATCCTCAACCCGGGACTCGATGCCCTCGGTTTAGGAGCTTTAGGGGTTTAGGGGTTTGGGTTTTAGGGCTACATGAAAGGTCATACCCTAGATTTATGGTTAGGATCTGCCATATAGAAAAGTAAGTACCCTAACAAATGGATAGGGCAGTACGGTTTTTTCTCTCAGTAGTATGTAAGGGCCTTATGCATCAGAATGGGTTTTGGGGTATGTCATGCGAGCATAGTAAAGAACCGTAAGGAATAATGTGAATACGTACTCAGGCAACCCAAACCCTGTAACCCAAAGCCCTGACGCCTAACTCCAAAACCCTGAACCCAAACCCTAAACCCGAACCCCAACCCCTAAACCCGGGCTCTAGCTTTCGATGTTTGGGCTTCAGGCTGGCGCAGGAAGCTCTGTGCAGGGTTTTGAGTTGAGGCTTCCCACGTGCTGCGCTCGGCTTAGGGTTCGTCGGTTTAGGGGCTTTCCGGCTCAAGGGTTTTACCCTCAGGGTCCAAGTGCCTACTTATCACATACTCTTGTACTAACCTACAAAACTACTATCAGTAACACAAGTACATGATTATTAGGTTCTTTGGACCTTAGGGTCAGGGCGATAGCGGTGTAGAGGTTCGAGATTGTGAGGCTGTAGGAGGGTTTAGGATTTAGGAGGTTTGCAGATTGGGTTTGTCCGGGGATGTCACCATTATCGACCACCGATGTGCTATGCGATATGCCTGGCAGTGGTGTTGCTATCATGTCTCTTCCTCATATATTTTCTGCGCAGGCTTCCGCCAGATCATGGTGGCTTCGTAGGCCCGCGGTACACTCAAGCACCACTTTGTCAGTAGCCCTAAGGAATAGTATTGTAGTTATTCAGGACCCTATATATTACCCATACAGGAACTGTTCCAGAATATCCTCTGCATTACAAGTACTGGTAGACTCCCAATCAATAAATCCCACAATCCGATGGCAGACCCCCAGATCATCAAGGTGAAACTGAGCTGCAGAAGACCCGCCCACGAGCCCCTGCGCGGCTGGCACCTGGCAGAAGAAAACAGAATGGAGTTCTGGGGTTCATTATAGTATATCGCAAACCCTAAGGAATAAATTGAAATTATTCAGGTATCTGAGTGCCCCACCCAACCTCCCACCTCATGCTTTCTAGAATGTTGACACGCTCAGGGTATGCTGAAGGATCACTTGTGCACTAAGTAGGTTATAGCTGAGGTCATTTAAGCAACCTCACTGACAACACTCCGCCCCAAACCCGATACTCCATATTCATGCGCCTTGACTTACAACCTACTTGTCCAGTCCCCCGACCAGCTTGAGGAAGTAATGTTGGGGCCGTAACAATTTGAATATGGCTTGCGGGGTAGATTCTAGTGTAGCTATTAAGGGAACCACCGTCTTATACTGTAACAGTATAGATTCAGAGTAAAGAACCCTACACATAGCATTACAAGCGATCTGGGGTTCTATATTGCTGTATAACTACACTTATCAAACACCCGACGGCAGCACGACCCGAGCGGAGGAGGTGATTCACGATATTCCTGCTCAGGGCTCTTGGTGTTTTCGGTCTGGCAAACCTATACGAGCCTGGGGTGATTCGAGAAAATACGACCCTCTTTGGCCCTGCTTCAGATTGTCAATCCTGCATGGCGGTACAATTTAATATTCAGGACGAATTTTGGGGGACCATAACTTTAACTGGTCTCACCTGGGTCTTATTTCTAATCAGTCATCTGTCTAGAAAGGAGAGCTGTGACCCCAAACCGTGCACCCAAGGCCGTACAACCCTAAAAAAACCCTACAAGTAGAACGGTGGGCTTGCGAGGACTCAGAGCCTTGCAGGTCTTGCTGTTACTGTTTGGGGTTCAGTGTCTTCTGAGGCGCCCTTAACAGGCTTCTATATTATGAATTCCAGAATTTACGGCTTCAGCGAGTACGATCCTGCGGAGCACTTGGGAAGGTCGTACTTTCGGGGCATGTAGTCCCTAAACCCTAAACCCTAAATTTGGTTGCAGGACTCACGGCTTTTGATTGCTCAAAGGGCCTTGTGGGGAGGGTAGGATGGTAGCCTGAACACCTTGAACCCACGCACTTTGAAACCTTGAGCTCCAAGTTCGTCATCCAATAACTCCTAAACTCTACCCCTTAGACCCTCAACCATACATTTACCGAGATTCAACAGGAGGCCTTAGGCAAACTCAAAGTAGAAGCCAGAAAGTTGGAACACGAATCATCCTAAACCCATGTTCCACCCTAAACCCTAAACCCTAAACTTCTAACTTTGTGGGATTCACTGCGGGGCCTTTGTTTTAGGCTCCGGCCCCGGGAGATCGCTTCCCACAACAACTCCGGTGTGCTTTAGGCGATCCATACTCAGAGGCCCAGGGGACCTAGTAAGTAGGTTCTAGGTCGAATGCGGACTTAAATGTGGGTTTAGGGTTGAGGGTTTAAGGTTTAGAGTTTAGGGTTATAGGTACCCCAAATGGACTTACCCAAATTACCGCCACACTGAAAACCGACTTACTGTGTCCCCTGGGCCTCCAAGCACTGGTTATATAAGGGCTCCTTTAAGCGACCCAGAAGGACTCTATACTTTAAGGGATCCATCTACGAGGGTTTTTTAAGGGTTCCCTTCTCATGGATCCGTAAGGGTTCTATAAGGGTTCGGGGTCTATAGGGTTTAGGCTTTAAGCCTTAGGGTTTAACATAGAAGCCTAAATAATGACCGATATTATTCCCTAGGGTTCCTCAGTATAATTCTACTTTTACGGAGCCCAGGACCTTCTTCTAATTATTAAGGCCCCTACAATTTCGGGGCTGGGTTCAGGACTACTGGTCTATGGGTCCAGGGGCTTTGAGTTTGGGGCTTTCTGGGGCTTGGGTTTCAGGGTTTAGCGTTTAGGGTTTCGGTTTAGGGTTTAGGGTTTAGGGTTTGGGATTTAGGGTTTGTGGGGCTTGGGGTTTCGTCTTTGGCGTTCAAGGCGGGTTACGGTGAATTGCCCAGCTCAAACTCTGATCCTTAAACCCCAGGCCCTGAACCCTAAACCCGAAGCCCTAAACCCTAAACCCTAAAGCCCTAAACCCTAAACACTGAACCTGAAGACCCTGAACCTTAAACTTGAAGCCCTAAACCCTAAACCTTAAGCCCTAAACGCTGAAGCCTGGACCCGCACACCTAAACCCTAAATCCTGGACCCGAAGCCCTAAACTCAAAGCGGGGACCTCGAGAAGTCGAACTGGATGACCTTATCGGATTGGGGTCTACCCATAGGCCCCATAGTAGTTCCTTTTGAGGGGAGGGTTTAGGGTTTAGGGTTTAGGGCATAGTAGTTCCTTTTGGGATTGCCTTATAGGATTCTATATATGGACCCCAAAAAGGAACTACTTCAGGGCCTATGGGTATGGAGGTTCGGCAGAGCACATACAGGATCAGGGCTTCGGGGTGTAGGATACAGGGGTTTAGGGTTCAGGGTTTGGGGGTTTAAGGTTTTGTTGCTTAGGGTTTACGGTTTAGGTGTATAGGGGTGGGCTGCTGCTTAGGCCCGGCTGTTCCTATGATACAAGCTTGTGCCCATGGCGTGGTGCAACAGGTACCTTGCGTTCTGGAGACTTTGGTGTAGGGTTCTGAATCGTGAACAACAACCCTAAACCCTAAACCGTTGTAACATCTATGTTGGACCTAGAGTTCCAGCTGCAGGCGGAAACTGAATCATCGCAAGGAGCTGCCTTTAATCAAAGCTGTGTTCGCACGGATCCCTTTGTGTACGAGGACACTGGCATGTAAAGGAAGACTTCCAATTAATGTAAGAGCGTGGTCTCTAAACTTTCAGTATGGATTGAAACCCCAGGCATAGATAATGTTTAGGGTCAAAAAGTTCAGGGGTTTAAGGAAATCTGTCAAGGGTACTCTTTGTAAGGACTCGAAGCTCATTCTAAGCTCAAACTATGCTCGGATCTGGCGAGCTTGAGACCGCACCTGCGACCCCATATTGGTTGAGGATAAGCCCTCCGGCCTCGTCCCCGCTTCTGTCTTCTCCGGGTTGAGACCACGCACCTGGGACCCCATATTGGTTGAGAATGGCTGCGTCCTCGCCTCTTTCCTCTTCGGGTTGAGACCACGCACCTGGCACCCCATATTGGTTGAGGATAAGCCCTGGCAGACTTACTGGGCCGGGCCTTGCAAGCCTCGGACAACTATTCGTAAATACGATCCTCTCCTAGGTTCTCCAGAGGGTACCCTTGTTCCTACTACTTGGTCAAGGGAAGCCACAAAGAAAAGGGCGAAAGGGTACTACTAGGGTCCCGTGATGGAACCCTTAAACCCCAAACCCTAAACCCCGAAACCCCTAAAGCCCCTAAAACCCCTAAAGCCCCTAAAACCCCTAAAACCCTGAACCCTTAAAGAAAGGTACTACTGGGGGCCCCTTAGTGTTAAGCCCAGCAAGGGAAAAGCATAAAATCTCCCAACAGACTCCTGAGCTTCAACCGTCCACGGGTTGGGCTTTAGGGTTTTAGGGTTTAGGTTTTAGGGTTTAGGATTTTAGGGTTTAGGGTTTTAGCGGTTTAGGGCTTAAAGTTTTAGGGTTTAGGGTTTAGGGTTTACCGTTTAAAGTTTATGGCCTCTAAACCCTGAGCCCTAAGCCGGAAACCCTAAACCCTAAACCCCTAAACCCCTAAACCACTAAACCCTGAAACCCAAAACCCCTAAACCCTAAACCCTAAACCCTTCGACCCAACCCTGAGCTCTAATCCGGAACGCTCCCGGGGGCCAAGCATTCTTGAGGTCGGGAATGTCGATGCCACGGGACAGCAGATCCGTCGAGACCTCGGGGTTGAGGTTTTGTATTTTATGAGGGCTTTAGGGGCTTTAGGCCCCGGGTTTAGGGTTTAGGGTTTAGGGTTTAGGCTTTGAAAATGATTTTGGGTTGGGGGTTTGGGCTTTATGAAGGCTTTACGGACTTTAGGGTTTGAAAGGGGTTTGGGGTTGAGGGTTTTGGCTTTCTGAGAGGGCTTTAGGGTTTGAAGGGGTTTAGGTTTGAGGCTTTGGGCTTTCTGCGAGGGCTTTACGGACTGTAGCGTTGAAAAGGGCTTAGGGTTTGGGCTTTGGCGGGTTCAAGTCACCGGGTTTGGGACCTAGGTTTCAGGGTTTAGGGTTTCGGGGCAGGGTCTAGAGTCTAGGGCTTAAAAGGCGGAAGGGGCGGAAGCCTTATATACTACCATGAGACCAAGGCACTAGGAAATTTAGGGGCTTGGGGTTTAGGGGTTTAGGGGTTTAGGGTTTTGTGGCCAAGGTAGCAAGCTTAGGATGCTCTCTCGGCAGCAAGGAGTTGGAAGTTCAAGGCTTTGGTGTATGGCTCGACCCGATACATCGCATGACTATGGAATCCCTAAGAAAGTGGTTTCTAAGGGGTGTATATAACCCAGTAATCCCCAATCTCCCTAGTAGTCCCTTAGGTTCCCTCAAGCTCCCACCCTCGAGTAAGGATCCTATAGTATGATGCAAGTTCTACAGCATTTGAGTTCTTGGGGTGCACATACTTTCTGGGGTTAGAAGACATGACTCGAAACCCCTACAGAAAACCCAGAAAGTCGGAACATGGATTTAGGATGATCAGTGCCTTATACTCTACCTTAAGGACACGAGGAGAGTCATATTTCAACTTTCTGGCTTCTACCATAACCTAAACTAATGTAGGGGCCTTAGTAAGTAGAATAGGGTTTTGGGATATA